CTGGGAAAAGGCTGGTGCTTGGGCTGATTCATCCCACCTCAATCCCTCCTGTTGTTTCCCTTCACATCTGCCTCACCTTCCCCCTCCCCGGCCCTCCTTCCAAAATGCCTCCATCAGGTAGCTTGAGAAGTTTATTGGGGATGAAATTGGCTCTGAAAAAAATACATAATAAACATAAGAAACTAATAAGTGTAGGGGAAATGCTCAACAGCAGAAGCACAGCAGAAATGGCTATGAAAACAATGGAGCATCATGAAGGAGGTTTTTAACCTGGAAGAGATGTGGTCACGCACTTTTTAAACAAGTGAACCTTTGTTCTATTTATATTTTAATGCTGAATATAACTGTCTTGGTAGGCTCAAGATACAAATGATTCTGATTTCAGGTTTTTTTTTTTTTTAATACCAAAAGAATAGTAATACACCAACAAAAATACTAAAAAAATAAGGCATGATTTACCAGAAAATCGGGGGTGGAGAAGAAAATGTTGTAATCACTGCTGGGAATCTAAGTCAGCAGGCCATTTTTCAGTTTTTTTCCTAACCACCCAACAGTTCCACATGCCCTAATTGAATGAGCCTGTCTACAGGGTGGGGCCAGCATACTTCCTGTGCTGCTCACACCACATGATATGTATAAAAAAATCTATGTAAATTCTAAATACTAGATTCATGTAAGCCTTGTTCATGTCCAGTATATTAGTTTTCTTGAACTTACATGATAGCCCCATCCTGACGCGATGGTCTGCTAGTAGGTGCTTCATAAAGGACTGTCAAGTGAGTAAATGAATGAATGAAATAAGACCCACTCTTTCATTTTGCTTGTGGAAGAAAGCACTAAGACAGCTCAGAGGATGACAAATATTAATTTTGTTTGACATAGGTCTAACTCAAAATGCTCCTGCATCAAAATACAGAGAAGCAAGCGGTATTTCTCAGATGTATTAAAGCTCCTAAGTTATGTGCATGTAACAAAACATCTCCAAATTACAAGGGTTGAAACTGTGTTTATGGCTACACCAACGTAAATCAGTAAGGAATCATTGACTTATCAAAAAACACTCTTATGCCAACTGGCTATCCTCTGAGTGCTTTTTAATTCATCAAACTTTTTCTGTAAATTTTGTATTGTTAAAGAAAAAAGTTATTCATCACACCTGTTGAAGGCACTTTATTCAAGTGGGGACTATTGAGCTAGATATCGGGAACACTTCCATGGGGTCTTGCAGTTGGGGAGAGAGATTGAGCTCAATTCCGACTCCAATAAGGACAAGGAGAGATTTGCAGCCAAAGAGCAGGCTGGGGGTCAGTGGATGGAAAATTGCTAAGAAGAAACATGAGGAGTAAGGGGATTCTTGCTGGACCAACTCAACAGAATTCTTGCTGAAGGTAGGCTGGGGTGATAGGGTGTCGAAGGTGGTCAGGTACTGAGGGTGGGGGATTTTTGCTAAACTGACTTAGCAGGATTCTTGCTCCAACTGGATTCCATAATGACAGAAAGAGAGCACAAGGGTGGGCCTAGTTGAGCAGAGGGCTCAGAGGAAAGTGACTACACTTAGGTCGAGAGACTCTTTGTGAGTATTCACGGAAGAATTACTCTTTGAATGCTATGAGTGCAGAAATTAATGCAAAGTCAGACCTCCTGCTGTGCAGAAGGATCTCTGCCTGTCCATCTTTCAATACTTGAGGAGACTGTTCTATAGCCCTGGTTCTAAATACAAGATTTTCTGTGGCTTAAAGAAATTTAAGGTCATTCCTTGGTTCCTCGGGTGAGTACACATCCATGGCATATCCTGAATTTATTCTAGAGCAAATGTAGACAAAGTGTGTCCAGAAATAATCACCCTGATGATTTTGCAGAGTGACACTAATACTCAAAATTTTTCCATAATTCATGGTCAGTCTTAGCTTCAGTGCAAGAAAATACTAGATTGAACACGCCTTGTCTAGGGGAAATCAGAGAATCATACGTCCTCAGACACAGCCAAGTCCTCGCAGTTTTGAGAATCCGTCAATGCACAAAAGGCAACGTTCATCAGCGAACATTCAGGCCACTCCGGCTTCTGCCTGGATCGCCCCCTGGGGTCTCTAAAGACCCCTTATGGCATTAAAGGTAGCTGCGCAATGAAGCCAATTCTTGGACCTATTTCTAAAAGTGCCCCCCTTTTTGTCTCTCATGTTGTGTGACTACAACTCTTCAACTTCTGTAGTTAGTCGAAAACTGATTTAAAAAGAACTATGATGCTGCAAGTCCCTGGCACCTTGTTGGGCTTGCCATTAGCCTGCTTTTTTTTTTTTTTGCAACCAGTGCAAGATCAGAGCCATCCTCACTGGATTCCTTAGCCAAGGTGGCACTGCGGATGCAGAACTTTCTGCTGCAGAAAGAGGGAACTATTCCCGTACCCCCCCCCCCCCCCCCCCC